AAACGGTTCTGAAAACTAGACAGAACAAGCTACACGTCAGTATGTGGATCGTCTCCAGACTCTTTCTGGTTCGACGGGACTCCTCCCTCTAAGTGGACTGATCGCAGCAGAAAACTGCAGAAACCTACCCAGTTAAAACGATCATAACTCCCTAAATACTCAACCCATTGACGAACGGTTTTCACCCACATCAAGAAAAAGGATTGGAGAACTTACCCACAAAGTTTCACCNCGATCCGACCTGATTTGCCTAGCCGTTCNTCTCCTCCAAAAATCACCTAAACCGAATTAGGATTTCAGAAGACAGGAATGACACACTGACTTTGAAAGCACACCGAGAACGGATAATACCTCAGAATCAGGATCAGAAACCTGATTTAGAAACTAGATAGAGAGAGCTTTCTACAAATAGGCTGATCGTCTCCTAAGTCATTCTGGTTTGATCGGAAAGCCTTCTCGAAGCCGACTGATCACAGCAACAAGTCTGCACAACCCTATCGAGTTCAAATAGCCATAAATCAACGAATATTCAACAAAATGACGAACAGATTTCGCCCATATCGAGACCAGAGATCGGAGAACTTACCCTCAAAATTTCACCCCAATCATCCTCGAATTGCCTAGCCGTTTGCCCTCTCAAACACTCGAACAGAAGCTGTCNTTCACCCTCAATCACACACAACTCACAACCTCTCTTGATTCTCTCTCGAATCCTCCTCTTTCTCTGATTTTCGGCCAAAATGAGACCAACACGCGTCTGTTCCAGCCCTTTTATACAAACCATAGGGTGTCCCCTAAACCGCTCCCTAAACTGGCAAATCAGAAACCGAAATCGTCGGTCTGATTTTACTCCGTAGATCGACACACATGCCCAAAAAAATCCCCTTTTTGGTTCACGGGCGTTACAGTTTTCCCCCACTAACACGGATTGGACCTCGAATCACGCAACACCGTCTCACTATGGTCTCCACCACCTGACCCAAACGCGGCCAGTATCCTTCGAGATAACACTCGAATCCCC